TATGTTTCATTCATGGCATCACGAGACGTTACAAAGTTCGAGGAGCTTCAGATAGCCGTTTTGGCTGTGATCGATTTGTTACCCTTACTCTGATGCCTGGTTGCAGAAAGAACTGATGCTGATGATGATCCGCTGCCATTACCCCCTCCTATCATAGCTGCTCCTAAGCCTTAACCATTAGGTTTTGTACACCATCTAATTTAAGTCCAATTGGGTTAAATCTCCATCGCTTAACTAGTCTAAGGCCTAGTTGAACCATTGATCAAATAGGCATTGGTGGTGCCAGCCCAAGCTCAATCTCTCCAGTAGCAGCAGCAGCATAATACTTCAAGTTCTCAAACAGCCACGCGAGACTACTCTCGAACGGGTTACTACAATCATCTACGGGACAGTGATAAATCCTGTCAGAGTGTAATTAGTAGTTTCGTATGAAATAGTGATAGTCCTTGGTAGCTTGGAAATTTGTCATTGTTGTTTGCCTATTGTATCCTGTACCAGTATTGAGATTTAATTTTTATGGGTGTGTTTATTGTCATAGTAGTGTTACCTGTTTCCATAAAATTGTTTGGAAAGTCAGCCTATGGGTGGTTATGTCGTTTAAGCTAAAAGCAATGTCATGTCTGAATCAGCAATTATTGCTCAGTTTGAACTGATATCAGGGCTAGTACAGTCCTGACAAGTATCGTTGCTGACCATGCCTGATACTCTGGTTACACGAAGCTTGTATAAAGCCATAGTGTAAAAAGTTATCCACATGTCTAGTGGGTGTGATGAGTATTATGAGACAGGCTGATACTAATATGTAGTAATTTTACAATAATTACAATGATTATTGAATTGACTGCACTGACATAAGCTGAGAAATTAAAAATTGCTTTCATTGCTTTAACTCGGCCATGAAAGTAAAAGTTAAGCAAATATCCAGTACACATTTTGTGGTATGAGTAAATGTGTCTTTGATTCTTTAAAATTCATTATAGCGGTTGGTTTTATAAACAGATAATATGATTTCCCTTCTGTTACATAGGTAAGGATTGCATTGAAAATGTCTGCACAAGGGCTGTTACAGCCCTTAGGACTGCCCAGTGCGAGGCTGAGCAAAAAGTTAACTTTAACTCCACTAACAAAGCCGTTGTCAATAAGATTTTTATGCCTACCGAAGTGAAATGCAACGCGCATTCCTACATCTCCTTTTCTGAAGATGTCTTTGACAGAAATAGGTCTGGGCCAAAAGATATAATCATGAGTCCGAAGATAACTAAACGTGAAAAGGTACTAGAGGCTTTCCCAACATTAGCTAAGGCAACTATAATTAAATTCATTGTTTTCCAACCATAACTGGACAAAGGCGGGCGGCCAGTTAGTTATAGTTATTAGTTATTACTATGAATTAATTGTTAATGAATTTGAATTTTTAAAATGATTGTTTAAATCAAACAGTGTGTGTAAGCAATAACAATTATTACACCTTGAGTTGTCAGCGTGTAACTTTCTTCAAGCGTGGTTTTACTGCCTAGCAGGATACACATTGAGGATAGTATTCATCTGTAGATTGTGATATCGTACCTGTGCAATAAAGACATATCACTTGATAGCCACAGCTATAATATGTAACTTTTCAATAGGTTCATAGCAATTATGCAATTTAACATTAACATCAATTCCCTCAGGTAGTACTATGTCATCAAAAGTTGCCCCACATGTATAAGTCATATCTTAGATTATTCTTTCTAGTTGAGACACTTTATCAGTACTTTGTTTTCTTTGGACAAAGAAGTCGCCACATTTCACACTCCTCACATTGGATAAGGAGGTTTACATTTTTTACATGTTGCTGTGTCATGTTATAAGTAGTACCTTTCTTTTGCTTCTTATTACTAAGTAGATGGGACGTCTCTGCGAATACATGTAGTTTCCTAAATACCATACACATCATGGAAGTGGCAATAATGCCCATCCCCTCCAAGCACTGGTTCACGTAAGATAAATATCTGTTGAATTAGGTTAGTAAAAGTAAATTCAAACTATTAATAGATAACAATGGTCAAATTAATATGGATTAACAAAATAATAGTATTATTGATGAAAACGTTTGCAGGGACTTTTTACATGTGACTTGCAGCAACATAAAATCTGAAGTAACTGGAATTTTCTACTCTTGGAAAAAAATTATCAAAAAGGAAATCTTTGTTATAACCCATCTATCTACAACAAAATTTACAGGTATTTATGTGGCATATACATGTATATTATGTATTATGATCTAACTTTTGTAATTTCTAATTTAGCAAAATTAAGTCACAAAATTTTCGATTAAACAGTATTTTTGTTAAGTACAATAATCTATACCTTTAAAAGTGGCATATATTCACAGGCTTACAGATGCAACATCTCGCTTACCACACTTTTAATAGTAATTTAACAATTTTCAAAGCAGCAACGAGACATAAATTTCTAAAGTTTATGTAACTTTTCAATACAGGCTATATTAGAGTGGTCACGAGTAAGTGAAGAATCTATGAGAAGCAACACCTCCCAAAAATTTTGTATGTCCTTTTTGGAAGCACTTTCAAATATTTCTATATTTTATTTTTTAATTCAAGTCTTTGTATAATAAATTTTAATAATTTAATCGGAGGCTGTAATGCCTTCTGAATATCCTCTTTGAAATACGAACAATTTTCCCCGATTTGTTTTCAATCATTAGGACTTTTGACACTCTTTTAAAAATCCTCTTCACCTTGGCTTCTCATTATTCCAAGAAACTGAATACCTAAATATAGTATGGCCATAATTCTTTCTACAGGGTTTGCCCATGAGCTAGACGGTGAAGGTTGTCCAGCTATTAAGACATCCAAATCAAGGTTAAGGAAAAGTGCAATTAAAGATAACTGGACACTCAAATATGTTATATGATAATCAGGACCACCATCAGAATGTATAAATAAAATGTGATGCCCATCATAGATTCATAGAGTTCTATTGCATGACATAGTGGTGATGAAGTCTCAAAAATTTTATCTTTTAAGCCAACAAATACCTTACCTGAATAAATTGAGCCATCAATAGTCTCTGGTATATCCACTAACAGAATAACACTTGGTATTTTAAACTTTGTGAAATCATGATCTCCAACAACAAACACTTCGTTAGTAGACACTACAGCTTCTCGTCCCCTTTCAGCAGTTGCTATTGGAAAAACAGGCTCTCCAACTTTCATGAAGTACTTATCATCAATGCAGGCAAAGACTGATATATCTCTAAATTTAATGGCATAGTCCCTCATGTAACAAAATAGTGCAACACAAAAATGAAAGTCTAGATGAGTTTTACGAAATTGTCCCTTTTGTATCATATGCTTTGCATTCAATCAGGACGTATATTTTTTAGATGAATGAAAAGAATTTAGTGCACAAAAATTTAGTTGAATCGAAGAATTTGAAGGAATAGGGGTGTTTTGGGGGCATAATTTAGACACCTGTTCAATTAGGTCATAAATAGATAAGGCCTTAGCCATAAAAACCATGGTGCCATGTCTTCTTTCTTGTACAAATGAACATTGAGACAAGTATTTAGAACACCTGCCAAAAAATTTTAAAACAATCACTCTTATTAGTATTTAGTTCAGAGAAATCAACTACTATATCAGGATCTTCTGCTGTATGAATTTCAAGAAGATGCTTATCTCCATCTACCTCTGCAGTCTTTCGTGATGTTGAACAGTCACCAGTCAATGAATGATATATGCTTCTTAAAATATACTGTTTGCTCTCAGGTGAAACACGGCCCATTAAACTATAAAATTCCTGCTTCATTGCCCTAGTGTGATACATTGGAATTTTTGGTTTTATACTTTTAACTAAATGTAATTTCTGAGCATCACATGATTCTCTGGAGACATCATCTGGTACTGTCCACACAAAGTGGTAATTTTCTACATTATTTCTGTGAGAATGTGTATAAAAAAAGTTGAAGACAATCCTTATTCTAGTTCTCAAATATATAAATATTTCTGCCTGATCCTTTAGGCCTCCATACACTATGCAACTTGTTGCTGGAAACTTATTGCCAGCAACAAGTTGCTCTTGTGTGACATTAAAAAGTTGCCATGTTACTTGTTGCTTGCAACAAGTTGCCAGATGAGAAAAGCTTTTTTCTGGCAACATGTTGCTCAAGAAACATCAAAGGTTTCCATGGATACCTATTGGAATGTCGGTGTGTATTAGTGTGACTGGAAAAGAAAATGGCTTCCACTACTAGCTCCAGCTCTAGTGAAAATAATTCTAATGCCTCCCCTAGTGCAACCATTGCTCCTTCTTCTTGTTCTACAGCTCTGTGGACACATGAAATGATTCTGCAATTGATAGAGCTTTTTGCGACTAATTTCTGCCTTTATAATGTCACTGAAGGGAGTTACCATGACCGAGACAAAAAGAGGAAAGCAACGTCAGAAATTGCCAAAGCATTTAGAATTAAAGGTATACAATAAGTTACATTCTGTAGTATATGATGTATAGTTGTGTACATTTTTGATTTTATAAATTATGTATTAATGTGCCATCATAATTAAGAATACTTACCCTCAATAGACTTTCTGCTATATATTATATAGATGATGATTTTACCAAAAAAATTAAGAACATTTGGACACAATATATTCGTGAACAGCAAAATGTAACTCAAAGGAAAACTGGTGAAGGTGCAGATGATGTGTATGTGTCAAAGTGGATCTAGTATGAGCTACTAAAGTTTTTGCATGACTTTGTGGTACCTAAAAAGAGCATTTCAAATTTAGAAGTAAGTTGTAATTTCATAGGTTGTAAAATTACAAGAAATAGTAATTATAGTGATAAAGTTTACAATTTGAGTACAATATAATAGTGTCAAAGTTTAAATCATGCTGTCTTGCCAAAATACTGCTCCTTTGGAATTGAAGTTGTCTGTTAGTTGATGGTGTAGTATTTTAGCTAAATTGGAATGATGATTGCTTTCTTGTTGTGTCAGAGATTGCAATCCTCTAGCTGTTTCCTGTCACCATTCACAGGGTATAACATCATGGGTGTATAAGTCTTTTGTATCAAAGCTACCAAGTGGAATGTCGTTTCCACTTTTTTTGGCTGGAGTCCAATTGGAGTATTAAACACTCTGAATCGATTAGATAAAATACCAAAAGTGTCCTTGACTCTTCTGCAAGCACAACTCAGACAATAATTAAAGATTTGTCTCTCTTTTATCATTTCAATGTGTAAGTATAGTTTTTGAATATAGGGTTTTAAAGGAAACGCATCATCAGCAACCACGGTATATGGAGTTGACACATCACTTTCTGGTAGTGGCTTTGGGCCAGGGACATTTAAATGATTTTCCTTAACTGCTTTGCTTATTTTAGTGTTACAATACACATCTCCATCAGAGACTCTTCCATTACAGCCAATGTCCACTAACATAAATTTGTAATCAGAATCCACTATAGCTAAAAGAACTATACTAAATGTGTTTGTAGTTGAAGAAATAGTTCACTGGATGTAGAGGTAGTCTTATTATTACATGCTTCCCATCCATGGCTCCTAGGCAATTGGGGAAATTCCATTTTTGAATAAATTTATCTGCTATATCCTCCCATTCAGCTTGTGCATTTGGCAACTATATTCAGCAGAAATAAATTATTATACTTTTAATAATAATAGATATAATTGACTTAAAATAATTTTTTTATTTTTTAATAAATATAGATGGAAACCAAATTGAAGATAGTCAAGACACTAGTACATGTGATAGTAAAGAACCGTTTTAGATAAAAATTTGCCAATTCATTCTACAAAAGACTTCTCAATGATTGAGGTATAGGTACACCTGTCTAAGAAACAAAAACGTGAAAGTCAGGAAGATATGCTACTGGAAAAAGCATTATCACTGATGACTATTCCACCCAGTTCAAGTAGCCATGAGGAAGATGATGATGCTACATTCAGACGTTTTATAGCTAACAAGCTGAGAGCCATTAAGGATTCTCAAGCAAAGCAAATAACAAAGTGGAAAATTCAGTTGGCTATCTTTCAAGCTAATGCACCTCCTGCTATACAACAACCTGTTTTTTGTGACACTGGATGCCATTCATTATCATCTGATCCAATGAGTCCAGTATCTAATGCAGGGTCATCAAACTCTTCATTCATATCATATGAGCATGATAATCCTCAATACTAGTGTAATTTCATGTATACATTATGTACCTTCATGTATTCTTTGAGAACTTTAATAATGGCTGTGCATGTGTCAATAACAATCTTTCCTACTGTTTGGGCTGGGATACGATACAGGTACTGAATACTGGAAAAGGATTCTCCTATGTATATAAACATATTATAATCTGTATTCATGTATGTATAATTATGTACTGTACCTGTAGCCAAAAAGCTTAATGTAAGTGCTAGTTTCTCAGGTGCCAATATTGCTTGTGCATTTGTGTATCCTGATAAGTTATATAGGGCCTCACTTTACTGAGTAAAACATCACGTGTCGGGGTTCATACAGAGAAAATGTCGATAGCTATCCCAGTCCCCTTCCCTCAACTCTTGTAAAAGTTAATGATAAGCACCCATATCCTACCTAGTTTTAACCCAATCTCTAACCCACATAGTCCTTTTCCGTCGTCTTGTACGTCTTTTTTTAAGCATTATAGCAATGACAACTGCACTGGCAGCAACTGTACAAGTAAGCTCTTCATCAGCCATTTTTTATTTTTATTAGAATAAAACTTTAATAAACTAGTTGCTACAACTTGTTGCTATAGTGTATATTTATTGAATTCAAGGCAACTTGTAACCAAGAACAAGTTGCCTAGTGTATGGAGGCTTTTAGGAACAAAACTATTCAGATAAACAATTTGTTATGGGTCAGAACTAGCTAATGCAGCATCAATATTAAATAAAAGAAGTGACAGAGATGATGATTTCTTCATGTATTGAAGAGCATTAGCATCAGAGAAATTTACAACAGGAGCGGTTGAGTGATGGCAAGTCTTCCTTGCCTTATTTTTACAGATAGTAAGATGCATATTAGGAGAGCGACTCAATTTACTGGAGTAGTGCAGGTTTAAAAATACTCCACTGTGGCTGCTCAATCCAACTAAAGTCTATTCAGTTTCACCTGACCTATTGATTTTTTGTTATAACTTTTGATAAACATGGAATTTAGAAATTTTGTTTACACCATTAGAATCACTAGGTTCTTCCTGTCGTTTAGACAAAAAGATCGAGTCAAAATGATAAGGCCTTAGCCTTTTTTGGATGTCCTTGTATAAACTCAATGACATAACTTTGACCACAATTATGCAGCTAGAACAGCCAGAATAAATTAAGCTGCTACTTATTTGCATCCCTTACGTGCAACAAAAACAATTCCAAAACCACAAACATGTAAAGAATGCGGATGTGACGTAGTTATTTATTAAATGAAAAAAGCCAGGGGTCAGGTGAAAGTGAATAGACTTTACTTGTTGTGTACTCCTGTAATGCAATGGCATACTCAAGCAACTGGTCTCTATTCATATTTGATATCGATCTTTTTCTGTGCTTACCTAATTCTGGCTTGTGATCACCATTAAAAGGCAAAAATGAGAAAAGACAATGAGATGTTTGTCAAAATACCACAGGGTATTACATAGATCTATGACAAAAGGTTGGCCATATCTATCTGGTTCCTGTTAAAACCACTTGATGGAACTACAAAGTTGGATGAGACCATAATACATAATACATTCTATCCTTTTTTTGTTTCTCTCTGTAATACGGCGAGGGAGATGTTGTGCAGTTTCATCCAGTGATTGCTCTGTAATCCATACTTCACTATTATTATTTATCATTTGTACTTCAAACTTTATAAAACATCTAGACATGCTACATACACCGTTAACGGAGCGGTCCCTTTGACGACATTAGTGCATCTCTTAATAGACCAACACATACCTTAACAAGAGAAGACCTTATGCGGTAAGTAATCGGTGTGATAGCAGTAACAGCTCCACTCTGAATATTCGAAAACAGTACTGAAAATGGTTCATGCTCAATAAATGGCCATATCAATTACTACAACAAGAAATGAACAAACTTACTCGTATAATAGTCCAAGGCACAATAGTGATTTCGTTTCAGACAGTAATACTTTAATACATGACAGAAACCAATTTGAAGCAGTACAAATAGAGAAACTTTCTTCATATAATGCCACACCTATAAGTAACATAAAATAATTCAAGACTCAATATAACACACAGTCACCAGTAATAAGTCATGCATACAGTCATTGAATAAAATGGCTATCAGAATTTAAATTCTCTCACAATTAAATTTTACATCAATACACAATCTGATTTGGTTGTCGATGATTCTAATGTACAATGAAGCAGCAAAACCATGTACATGTTACAAGTACAATAATGAAAACAATTCTGAAAATTTGCTAAACACTAATAACCAAATTATATAATCCAAATTATATGTGAAATGCATATGCCATTACATGCAAGTAGATCATTTTATATGATAGATCAAAGATATTTAATGGTGCAACCACCACATGCAGTAAATTAGATGTACATGTGTATGTATGTAAATGTATATATGCATACCATCAATTCCAAAGATAGGAGAAGAGGAAGAGACCAATTTAATTAATCTCTGTACATGAAATAGAAGAGAGACACCAGAAACCGATAGATACTTGCAAACGTTAATAAATCTCCGTACGTAAAATAGAAGGCAGAGACCAGAAACTGGTAGATACTTGCAAATGTTAATGAATGTCTGTACTTAAAATAAGAGAGAGAGAGACCATAAACCGGTAGATACTTGCAAACGCTAAAGAATCTCTATACGTGAAAAGAGAGAGAGACCATGAACCAGCAGATACTTGAAAACGCTAATGAATCTCCGTACGTGAAATAGGAGAAGACAGAGACCATAAACCGGTAAACACTTGCAAATGGTGATGAATCTCCATACGTCGAATAGGAGAAAGAGATTTAGGACTGCTTTGGGACGAAGTACAATGCAAAGGAGGAGTATGCAGCAGATAAACATCCAAAAGAGCACAGTCTGCAGAGAGGATAAGTAAACAATGCATTCATGTGTATGGCTGTAATAGTGTAACCACACTAATTGTGTCTATGCATGTACCTTTTAAATGATGTGAAGGAGAAACCAATGATGTCCCAAGCTAAATGAAAAAAGAAACTGTTACCAATGGCAAGTGAGACACAAATTTAATTGAGTACCAACCAACATGTATGGTGAATATGTGCATTAAATTTAAAATTAGGTATAATTATTGCTATTTATTATTTCAGTTTTCGGTTAATTTGTAACATGCAATCAGTACTGTCATTTATAACACCAAGAAATATAGGGAACTAGCAATGACGTTACATGTAAATTCATTGATTTATATTCCATTGACCCTAATTATCACACACTGACATACCTATAGCCTTATTCTTTTCCTGAGGCAGCTTAAAGCCTCTAAAAAATTGGGGAGACACCATCAGTGCTGCCAATGAAGTCATGTGGAGCCGCCGAGTGGCAATTTATATAATATATGGCAGCATATACTTCACGCAGTACACTAGCTCTGGGCTGCTCACCAGAACAGCATGAACACAGCTATGAGCCTCAACAAGGTGTCACCGTGTAAGTATAAATATTGTGGTGTAACAGGGATCATCGAGGATCCATGGCCTCCGTTTCATAGGCTGTGTGACTCGCTCAGTGCACAGTATTGGCTAAAGGATCAAGTAGCTTCTTTCTCAGGAACTACAAGCAGTATAGCGGCATCTTTGGCATCAAATAATAGCTTATTGTCTCTATAATCAGTTTGTGCAAAAAGCTATTTTTCGACCAACAACACACCAGTTGACTCATTATCACTATACTGATTAATTTAATAATGCGCCAAACGGTACCTTTTGTCAAGTATGGTCACATATTTCTGAGCACTACAAGACGCTACAGGCTTAAAAGCAGCAATTATATGAAGTATAGAGGCCAGACTACTTCATAAAAACAAGGTAACTGTTGCGGCAACATAGTAATCTTGCCATACTTCATTTCGGCACCTTGGGCTTTCATCTGCCTTTGATGTGGCCATCAGTAATTTTAGTCGTAGGTGGCTATCGTAAATAAATCATATAAAATAGTCTTAGCGCATAGGGGGTCTATATAGACATAGACTTCACGATCACCATAATGGTAACACGATACACCATTGTGACTTTTAGTATGACAAAAGGAAAGAAATATTGAATGTAAATTAGAAGAATGTCAAACATTAAGGGGCTCAGCTTCCTAGGCAAATCATGTCCAAAACGTTCTATGGTGCAGAGCTACATTATTTGTACATGTACATGTGTAAATACAGTAGTTGGTAATAAAGTTATCGTGGTTGGAAATAT